TATATCATATAATTTGTAGGCCTTTACATCGGGTGCATACCCTAAAAAAACACATTTTAAAGCCTTGGGTTCAAACTTGTCCTTTTGAGGATTAATATTTGTAGCAAAACATAGACAACCGAAGACTTTTAGATTTGAGTAATCTGGCTGTTTTTTGTACAAAATTTCATAAAGAATTTTTCACTTTAAAATAAAGTTTGGCAAAACGTTTATTATGTGTGTGGCTGTAAGTGGCTTCGTCCCAAAATCTTTTTGGTAATTTTGATTCAAACATCAATGCCCTAGCAATTTGCAGTAAGTGTTTATGCTTCCTCACCACCACAACATTTTGCTGTAGTGTGTATGTACAAGTTTTTTGATGCATGATTCTTCTTTCTTGAAAAAAAAATTTGCATGAGGTGTTTATGAACTCAGTGTCATTGTCTGTCCTGACTGTTTTGATTGTTTTTTGAAATTGGTTTTGTATTAGATTGCAAAAATATTTTAAAGTATTTGGTACATTCGTTTTCTCTTTTAATAAATAAGTCCAAGTGACTCTTGAGAAATCATCAACTATGGCTAAAAAATAAAGTGCACCAGAAATACAATTGACTAGATATGGTCCCCAAAGGTCAACATGTATTAAACTAAAAATTTCACTGGTATTGATGAAACTTTTAGGAAAAAACAAACACTACTGTTTTGCCAAGGGACATATTTCACAATCATGTAAAGCTGCACTGCCTGATAACTTTAGACTGGGGATGTGGATCAATTTTTTGGGGATGTGTGGCCGAGTCTTTTGTGCCATAGTTGTAGGTTGTTTTCTTGGGTGTGGCTGGTGCATGCTTTGTTAGAGTCTATGTCTTCATTCAGGGTGTACAAGCCCTTCATTATTGTTCCCTTCCTCAATATTTTGTTAGTTGTCAAATCCTGCACAAAACAATGGTTGGGATGAAAGGAAATTTAGATATTTGAAGCTTAGGTTAGCTTTCTGATAGAAATAAGGTTACAAGTGAATTTTGGTATATAGAGGACATCCTGTAGAATTACATTATCACAGTTTTATGGTTCCTTTGTAGGTTGAATGACTCGCGGTTCCGTCTGGTAGCGAGACAAACACTGTAGGTTCTAATTTTACGGGTTTTGAAAGCATTTTGAAATCATGGCATATGTGTGATGTGACACTTGTGTCTATTATTCAAGTTCCTATATCATTAAAGGCATGTAAAAACAGCATTTAGGTTGCTTACCAAGGGGGCCAGAGTAGCCCACGCACCTTGTCATTTCTACCGTGTTTGTTCTTTGGTTTTTTATGCACTTGCTGATCATTTGTTGTATGAGTGTGGCCATTTTTGTGCCTCAGTTTGTATTGAATGTTTCTGTTTTGGAGCTATCAGTGGCATTGTTTGCCACTGCATTAGCTTTTTCTTTGTTCCTTTTCCCTTTGAGTTCTGTAAACCATTCTGGGTAGCCATGGAGCTTGAAGCATGTGTCCTTCATGTGCCCTATGTTTCTGCAATAAGTGCGTGTCCTGCTATCCTTTTCCTTTTTTCCGTTTGAGAATTTTGGATTGTCTTTCAGGTTGGTGTAAAATGTAACGGGCGTCCCCTCATGTCAGTTACTATTGTGTACTTCTCTTTGTTTTTCAACACTAATTACTATGGAATAAACTCTATTCACACTGGGTAAGAATTCCATGATCAATATTTGGTTTCTGACATGGTCGTATAAGTCATTAAGACACATCAGAAATTGGATTAGGTTGTCAGTATTGTCTATTTCACTGTGTTGTGTTGCAGCATTACAGGTGCAAGCAGGTAAGGGTCTTAGGTGAGTTAACTCATCCCATAGCCTTTTGAGTTTTGTATAATAAGTTGTGACAGAAAGGTTAGATTACATGATGAAACTTATTTCACGTTTTAATTGATATATCAGAGGTCCGTTGTTTTTACCATACTTCTCTTTTATTTCATCCCATAGGTTTTTGGCTGATGTGGTGAACAGGAAGGCGCTAGCAAGCTCTTTGTTCATCGAGTTCAGGATCCAAGATACCACCATGCTGTCTGTTTTGTGCCATTGTTCATATTCTGCTGCATCAGGTTCAGGCTTTTTGCATCTGCCATCAATGAGAGCAAGCTTGTCCTTGGCTCTCAACGCAATCACCATGGCTCGGCTCCAAGACAAGTCGTTGGAGCCATCAAGTGTGGTGGTGACAAGTTGCATTTCAGGCTGATATGAGTTTAAGAGTGTCAGCAAATCTGTATTAGAATTTACCATTGAGCAGTAGGGTAATAGTGTAATGTAAAAATCAAAGAAATCAATGCTTATTACAGACACTACTCTGATACCATGTAAAAAGACCCAACCAGACGAATAGAGAGTATTTAATGCTCTTTAATTTTCTGCTACATTTATTGTGTAGGGCGTTGGGAATTTATACACATGCAGGAAAGTAAAAGAAAAGAGGGGGAAAGTAGTCTCTGGAATCGTCTGAGACCACAATCTGTCCCCAACTTTTAAACAGAAAAAAATCTAAACCCTTCATTTTAGGGTTTTGATCTGGGCAGTCCACCAGTCCGTTTTCTCTCAGCCTTTTACTTAATTCTTTTCAATAATCATATTGAAGTGATGATCCTTAAAGGAAAAAAGCTACAAGATTCTTAAGGGTACTAAGGATGGTAAAACCTAAGGAAGAAACAAGGAAGAAAAAGACTTGTTAAAATAGTAAATAGAAATATAAAGTTTTTGACTAGTCTCTCAGCATTTGTCAATACTGAAAGTACTCAAGCGACACGTTAAACACCCATTATCTTTTTTACACAGCATTTATGGGAAGAATTGCATTCACCAAACTTATTAAGGCATTCCACTCATTTGACCAAGCTTCAACATTCGTAAAGCTAATTTGAACTGGCATATTAGCATTAAATACATGTCAATTTACCAAATATAGATTTAATATTATATAGAAAAACAGTAAAACCAAAGTACGAGAAACAAGAACTTCAAATCTACAAATCTTACCAAAGGGGTCCAGATAGGAAATCCCCTAATGCTCTCCTTAGGGTTTCTGCAATCCTATCTCTGAGCCTTCTTCGTTCTATGCCTCTCTCCCCTCTTTTGCTTTTTTGTTTTTTTCTCGTTCTTTTTTTTTTTCTTTCTGTTTTCTTTCACTTTTCTTGCTCGAATCTCCGCCTCTCTATATTGTTTCCTTTAAGCTTCTGTTATTTTCACTTTGCTCGAAATCCCCCCAGACTCTAAATGATCTCGTCACCTCCCTCCTTTTGTATGACGCCGCTATTTGAATGCTCTTGCTCGGTTCTAGCTCAAACTTTTCGAGCTTTCTCGAACAGATTCCTGCAATTCGTCCAGAGATTATCTTGCGTGACCCTTTAATGTTGCCGTCTCCTGCTTCCACGCCAAAATCGCTAGCACTAACTCCTTCGTCCTCCCTTAACTGTTTTCTTCTACTGTAATTCTGCTTCCCCAAACCTAACGGTAACCCTCCCCTTGTTTTGTCGTTCCCCCGACGGAAGAAGAAATAAAACTGGACTCCTCGAAACGACAGTGTTTTGGAGAGTCAAACTATTGGGTTAGATGGGCTTGGGCCTGAGTGTAGGCCTAAGATTGTTGGAGTGGGCTTGATGTTTGGGCCAGGCTAATTTGGGTTTCTTTTGGGCCCATTTTCTTTCTTTTGTCGTAGCATAATAAAAAATATTTTTAAAAGTAAAAACTATAATGACCATAATACTAGAAACAATAACAATAACATAAATCAAACATTTTCTCCATTTGATATTCCACATTTATTGCTTCTTTATTCTTTATTGTTTGGTCAAAAAAATTTGGATATGACAGTAACATTCCTTCAAATATATAATATATATTTTTTTATAATATTACGTCTCCAGTTTCTAATGTATATAACAAGTTACAGTTTATGAGTAATAAAGTACACAAGATAAAGAAAGAAATAATTAATTAGAAGAGGAAAAAAGAAACATTGAGAAAATAGAGGAAAAAAAAAACTTGCAGCTGAATACAAAACCTACTCCGTATTAAAAATTATAGTATCTATCATCCATATATTTATATATTGGTGCATAATGATAAATATCAATCACAAACATGATGGCACCAACGAATCGGACTCAATTTCTGTACCGTATAAGGAATGTATACGTACACACACACATATATATATGTGTGTGTGTGATAATTGTAACGCACCAAACCATCCCCACAAACTCTCTACTTCAAATCCCCAACCCCAAATCTTCAAATTTCAGACTTGAATGTCAAGCAAAGTATTAGAATATTGACAACATAAACTTGGTAAACTTTATAAAGGTAAATAATTTATTCTAAATTTCTACAATACAAAAATAAAATTAAAAAAAAAAAAAAAAACCTAATTATATCTACAAGGCATCAAGTTCAAGTTGATGTCACTATATATACATATATATATATATATATTATATGTGTGTGTGTGTGTGTATGCATGGCAGTGATTAGGTAGAGGAATAACAAATAATCTATGAAAAGACAACCAGATGATATCGACTAAGAGAAATACTCCGAGATATTGTTAACAAAATAAAGCAATTAAATTATTGATGTACTTCACCTGCTTCTATATATATATGTATATGGGCTTCTGTGTGTGTATATATAAATGTATGTATGTATGTATGTATGTATGTACGTATAGATGCAAGTGGGTATTGAAATGAATTTGGTTAGAATGCATGTGGGCATGCGCGCAATGGGGGACAAAAGTGTAGCCCAAGTCATGTGCCAATTGTTTGGCTCTTTTTAACAATTGATGACACCAACTTTCAAGGGTTTACTGCAGATCTGGATCAACTAAGGGGACCCAATTACCTACTTGTCAACCAACACCATCACATCTCTTTAACTGCTACTCCAGAACAAGCTCACTATATAACCCACTACAAGTCGTTTGCATTTTCTAGGCATCAAGAGATCATGGAGACACCAAGATTATTGGTAATTTTCTTCTTCTTTTTAACATTAAAAACTAACAAACTAGCCGCGAACCAACTCTTCAGTAATCATACTCGAGACACTCACAACGATGCTACTACTGCTGCTACTAGTAATGAAACTACTACTCCAGTTGTGATTGACAAGAAGTACACATCGTATTATAGAAGAGGTGGTGGTGGGAGAAACAGAAGTGGTGGGGGGGGAGGCCGGTATGGATGGGGTTGGGGTGGTGGTGGTGGAGGTGGAGGTGGTGGAGGCGGGTATGGATGGGGATGGGGATGGGGAGGGGGAGGGGGAGGTGGTGGTTGGTACAAATGGGGATGTGGTGGAAAAAATGGGAGAGGGGGAAGGAATGAGGTAATCCATGGGAAGAGGGGATTATATAGGTTGGGTGAATATGCAGAATGCATGGGAAGAGGAAGGTGTAGAGGCATGAGATTGGATTGTCCTCTTCATTGTGGTGGACCTTGTTTCTATGACTGTCAATACTTGTGCAAAGCTCATTGCAATCGCCCAAGTTGATATTTTTGTTCCAAATCCAAAATTTTTTGAATCTGTTGCCATTTGTAATTGCATGGTTATGGAAGAGAGTTTTCAATTTTACTTTTACTATATTATAAACATGTTTTTGCGTGTTAACATGAACATGATGGTGATCATTAAAATTTTAGAAATACTCAAAAATTTCTCTAATTTTATAAATATTTATGATAAGGGTCTAATTGCTAGAATGTTCTCCATAGGATGGTCCCTCCCATTCTCATGAACAAGTAACTTCACTTCACACCATCTCCATGAGAGTCGATAGAACAAGAAAGATGTCAACTCTCAACACCTTGTGGATTAGTGATGGCGGCTAATTCTCCTATATTTTTTATTACACCAATTCTGTGATGTTGCCTTTCAAGTTAGCAGAATATACCAACCTCACTAATAATAATAATAATAATATTTTAAAAAAAAACAACTATATGTAACACATCATAAAATTATATGTCTTAAGGCCACCAAACATTATATTGATAATTT